TGGTGGGCCCCACTCTCTGACCACTCAGATGGACGCTGTGACTTCCCCTGTGCTGCAGAAGAGAGAACAAAGGAGTTAAGGAAATCATCCAGACCCACAGGTGGCAAAGGCTGGGGCGGAAGCAGGAAGCTGGCTGCCAGAAGCTGCTGCTCCTTGGTGGGAAATGGACGGGGCCTGGGTTTCCTCGGGGAGACAACATGGAGGCTGGAATAGAAGAGCTCATTTCCATACAGGGAATGATGAAGGAGCTTGCAGGACACAAGGCTGGGGGGAAGGGAAGTAGTGGGAGAAGAAGATGAAACAGTAGGTAAGCCAGGTGGCAAAGTGAAGGTGTTAAAGAGCAAGGAGAGGGCTGTTGAGATAGCTCAGCAGACTAAGCGCCTGCTTTGGCAAGAGCAGGGACCAGGGTTCAATCCCTGGTCCTGCATGCTGCTCTGGTCCTGCCCCCGGGGCACGATGAGCCAGCAATCCAGTCTGGGTGTAGTGGTGTGCACCTGTAATACCAGCGCTTGGGAGGCTGAAAATAGGAGGATCTCTACAAGTCTGAGCTGCATAGTGAAACTCTGTACCAAATACATGAAGAAGAAGAAGAAGAAGAAGAAGAAGAAGAAGAAGAAGAAGAAGAAGAAGAAGAAGAAGAAGAAGAGCAAAGAGAAAATTTGAACTGGCCGGGTGTGGTGGCGCACACCTTCAATCCCAGCTCTCAGGAGGCTGAGGCAGGAGAATCACCTCAAATTCAAGGCCAGAGTGGGCTACCAAGTGAGTTCAAAGTCAGCCTGAACTACATAATGAGACTGTCTCAAACAACCAAAATCAAAACACAAAAACAAAGAAAAGAAAAATGTTTGAATTATTCTATGTGTGGTGCAGAAATTTTAAAGTTTTTTTTTTTGGCAGAACCATGGATTGAACTCAGGCCCTTGCGCTTGCCAGGGAAGCGCTTAGTCCACTGAGCCATCTCCCCAGCCCCCATGAGCCATCTCCCCAGCCCCCTTAAAGTTTTTTTTTGAGTGTGTTTGTTCTTGTAGTACTAAGGATTAAATTCCACAAAGTGTCTTCCTCATTGAACTATATGCTTGGCCTTTTAATTTTGAGACAGGATCTTGCTAAGTTGCTACACTGCCCAGTGCCCATCCTAGGTTTAAACTCTTGATCCTTCTGCTTCTGCCTCTGAGTGCTAGGATTACTGGTGTGTACTACTAGGCCTGACTCTTTGCAAATCTTTTAACAGATTGTAACATTTTTCCCCCCACTGGAAGGTAACTCTAACCACAGGAAGGAGTAAGAGGGTACGGCTGGAACTGAGGCACAGGGGTGGGTGGGCAAAGCGTGCTGCTATAACCAGCTAAGCAGCTCACCAGGCACAGTGGGACGAAGCCAACAGAGTGCAGGGACCGCCAATGCTGGAGACAGGGGCATTGCTAGGGGAGCCAGAAATGGTGAGAATACGGCGACCAGAGCTGGCGACAGAAGCAGTGGGCTTGTTCTTCTAGTGCCCACCAGAGCCTTCCTCCATCCTCCACTTGCTCTCGTCACAGACAGAATGCTGCTGGCTCCACCCCACTGTGGCTCTTCTGTCATGTCCCAAATGGTTTGTTAATGTCTGCCTTTAAACCCAGAGGAGACTGTCAGGGTGGGCAGAGCCCTCCATGTCTTATTTTCCATGTGTGAAGTCATGATTGGATAGATGGATGGATGGGTGGGTGGACGGATGGATGGACAGGTAAGTAGATGGGTGGGCAGATGGATGGATAGGTAGGTAGGTGGGTGGGTGGATGGATGGATGGACGGACAGGTGGGCGGGTGGACTGTAGGTGGCAATGGTACAGGAACATATTAAGCAGTTACACACATCAGACTGTTGTTAATACTGTGAGAATGAGCCTGGCATGGTGGTGAACACCTGTAATCCCAGCACTCAGGAGGCTGAGGCAAGAAAATTGTTGCAGGTTAAAGACCAACCTGGGCTACAAAGTGAGCTCAAGGTCAACCTGAACTGCACAGCAGGATGCTATCTCAAAAAGACCAAAAAAAAAAAAAAATCACCTGTGAGACTGAAAGCAGTTGTGTAAGAAAAGAAGCATGAACCAAAAAGGAGAGGGGACCTGAGTCAAAACCAAGGACTACCCCACACCAATGAAATGGCAACTGGCTGATATGTTTTGTTTTTGTTTTTTGGCAGAAGCGGGGATTGAACTCAGACCCTTGTGCTTGCCAGGGAAGCGCTTATTCTACTGAGATATCTCCCTGGCCAACTGGCTGATATGAAATAGGATGGGCTAGAAATTGTCCCTCCTCCTGGGCATGGTGGTGCATGCCTATAAGCCCAGGTCTGGGGAGGCTGAAAACAGGAGGAACACTACGAGTCCCAGGTGCATAGTGAGACCCTGTACCAAGAAAAGAAATTGTCCCTCCTCTATGCCCAGACCTCGATACACATAATCATACTATTCACACTCAAAAGTGGCAGAAGTCTAAGACTTTCCTTCACTAAATTAATTGCTGTGAGCATTTGTGTTACTCTACACTATCCAGAATTCTCTTTGAAAATGAGATCATCTCTGAAATCTGTCAATAATTACTGTGTTTGAGGGTGTGTGCCTATGAGGCGTGCTCTACCCAGGACCCCTTCAGCGCAGGGTGGTAGAAGCCAGCCAGGAAGAAGCAGCAGGAGGAGGATCAGAAGAACCGGGCCGTGGGAGCTCGGGGCAGGAGGAACCATACCCTGTAACTTAGAACAGCTTAATGAAGCTCCCTGAAGAGCCTTCAGCTCAATGTCACGTCTGCCTGCCGGCCTGCCTGCCTGTCTCTTTCTTTCTCACTCTTTTTTTGTTGTAACTGGTGTTTTGAGACAGGGTCTCATTATATTGTTTGGGATAGCCATGAACTCACTATGTAGCCCAGGCCAGCCTTGAACTTCTGGTGATCCTCCTGCCTTAGCCTCGTGAGAGCTGGGATTACAGGTGTGCGTCACCACTCCTAGCTCTGTATTATTTCTGTACCAAGAAAAGGACAACAAATGAGCAGAGTTATTTAAATAGGTGATCCCGCCTATAATCCCAGCACTCGGGAGGTGGAGGCAGGAGGAGGATCACCACGAGTTCAAGGCCAGCCTAGGCTACCTAGGTATATATTGTGCTCCCAAGCCCCAATGACCCTAATATGGATCGAAGCCTGAGGACCACTCCAACTTCCTGGTCCCCAAGGTCCTGCTCACTTCCTCCTGCTATCTGGGCTAATCTCTCCTTGCTCTGCCTGTTCCCAGGAGGAGAACATTGCCCGTATTAACTCTTCCTCAGCTGCTAATGTGATTTTTTGGAGGACCATTCCTACCCTGCCCCAGGGTGGCCAGGGACCCAGGTGCTCAAGGTCAGAGCTGTATCTCCTGTCTTGGCCTCTTGACTTTCAGTCTCACCGCTTTTTATCTTCACTGCTGATTCCAGATGGAGCTATGGAAAACAAGGAACAAAAGCCAGCTCTGTTCTTGGTTCATTTAAGATAAGGCTGGCATTTCTGAAAAAGAACTTTTCTAAAGAACTTAAAAAAAAAAAAAAAAAAAAAAGAAAAAAAACCACAAAGGAAGTCAAAGGATGAAGTTAGCATTTTT